AAGCAGTGGTATCAACGCAGAGTACTCCTAAAAAGTCTCCCCCCCCCCCGGGCATATGCCGTAAGAGGCGCGAAACTCCCACATATTATATATCATCTGAAAGCTCTTGATAAGAAGAATTCAACCTATGAAGTCGCAACATGATTCATGCAGTTCTGGAGAAGTTACGAGCTGTTGAATTTCAAAAAGCTGTTTTTTACCTGCTTTTTCAAGAGCCTGGATCTCGGCGGTGCTTTGATGAATTGGTACGGGTAAGATATATTCTAGTAGGGCAAACCTTACCCTAGAAAACCTATGAAGTCGCAACATCACACATCTTCACAATCAAGAGTTTTAGGAGTTCAAATGTCAGCAGTCAAAAATTAGCCTAAAATCGCCTAATTTTTCAAAATTCTCGTTCTCAGCGACCACTGCTCAAATCGACCCGATTCTTTCACTGTCTGTTAGAGCAACACTTACCCTTTAAAACCTATGAAGTCGCAGTTGCTGACATCTTCAACCACTTGGTTTATAACAGTGGCAATTTTGCATGATTTCTGGTTATTTTTTCATTCAAAATTCTGGTTCTCGGCAAATACTTCCTGGATCGACCTACTTTCTTCGCAGTACGACATAACTAAATTTACTTAATAAAATCTGTAGAGTGTCGTTGAGTTTCACTTCAAAATACACCATTTCATTGACACGTTTATTTCGAATATTTATGCCGCTGTGTTCATCGTATCTGTGGCCCTAAAGAGGGCCGTTGGGTCGCAGTTATTGGCCCTAAAGAGGACCGTTGGGTTAGAGCTCTTCAGTTGTCCGAAGTCATCATGAAGCTTTGCTCTATCGTAGAAAGTGCTGAGGCGTATATGCGTCCATGCCGGTGATGACCTCCAGTTTTCGCAGAAGGCGACGGCGATTTCCTAAAAAAAACTACATAGAATATGCTCTCAATACTTTCTTTTGCGTTCGTTTTGCTTAATTTCCTTTTTTTCAGTTTCAGCAAAAAATCAATACCCAAAAGTCCGAAAAAAACCCAAACAAAAAAAACCCAAAAAACCCAGTTCAAAGTCCGTCCTGTGCCCCCCCCCTCTCTACCCCCACCACCGGTCAACGTTTTTGAGAGGTGAGTGTCCGGCACTACCAAATTCATTTTTGCTGCCCTGTGGTAGCTGCGACCCCCCCCCCCCCGGTCGACATTTTTGGGAGGTGAGTGTCCGGCACTACCACCTTCACTTTTGGCAGCCAGTGGTAGCAGGGACCACCTTCACTTTTGGGGGACCCGGCTCCCCCTATCGCACCTCTGCTCGCTATACACTAATATTCAGAATGATGCCGCACTGCAAGCACTGTAGATGTTGGATTCTCACTATAATAACATGGTTACCTTCGGTTTGAGCAAAGCGTGCATATTGGTTCTCATCAAGGAATGCTTGAAATGTAATATTTTCAAATGGTGTTCTCAGATTCGCGGATTGGCGATGGGTCAACGGTTAGCCCCAGTCCTAGCCATTTGCTTCATGGCAAAATTGAGGAACCAGTATTAGCACGCTTACCATTGATGTACTGTCGCTACATCGACGACTGCTGTGTTATAACCTCGACACAGTCCGAAATGAACGAATGCTTCAAGATCTTGAACCAGCAGTCACAGTACATCAGGCTTACACGGGAAACTCCGAACAACGGGTGGCTTCCCTTCCTGAATACGCAGATACAGCTGGCTGATAACACCGTTCGTATAAAATGGTACCGGAAGGAAAGTTCCAAAAACATCATACTTCACGCCAACTCAGCGCATCCTAAAGCAGTGAAACGAGCTGTTGTGCGCAACATGTTCCGAACTGCCGCGAATGTATGTACGGGTACACAAGAACGTCTTGAATCCAAGTTACTGGCTTCACAAATTGCGCGTGACAATGGTTACATGCTGCAACCTTCCGCTAATCATAAAGCCTTGAAGTTTGCCAACAATAACAATCACGCAACAAGGACAATAAAGTACCTCTATGCATACCCTTCATTTCTGATGCAGTGCGCTCAGCAATCAAGCGATGCGTGGTACGAGCACATTTACAAGATGAAGTCATAGTGGTAGACATTCCAATATCAAGAGATAGCTAGTGAGGAATGGGTTGTATGATGATGAGTGTCTTTCGGAAAACTGCATTGTTTGCCCATGCGGGAAGATAGGCGATTGCGCGAAGATAGGGGTAGTATACGATTTGCAGTGTCTGAGTTGTGGCGCTTTACATATCGGAGAGACGGGCAGAATGTTGAAGGTGAGAATAAAGGAGCATTTAACGAATAAGAGGCGAGCGAATGCAATGTCATCGTTGGGAAAACATAAGATAGAAGCGCATAATGGCGGTGAATTTGATGTAAAGTGCACAATTCTTTCTTACGAGGCAGAAATTGTAGTACGAAAAACTATGGAGGCGGCATGGGTTTCCGTTCGGAACCCATGCATGAACAACAAAACTGAATGCTTATCGATAGCGACCGAACTGTTGCCGTATCTGTCGATATGTGAGTTACAGCCTGCACATATATAAAGATCGATCCACTGACGGCTCTCAGTGTCGTCCGTGTCCTTTGTGCGGCTACTGACTTCCTCACTAACACCGCGTGGATCAGAGGTAGTTTCTTCACCGCCGTGTATCTCAGTGCGTTGCGCGCGAGACGAGGTCTAGACTCGCTGATGTTCGGTGTTGGCGTTTGGCGGTTTTGTTCTCCCAGATTCAAACTGCAATCTATTTCAGACCTCCGAAGACGACGACTGTGTCGAAACGTTAGGTCGAATAAAGAATACCACCGTACAAACCTGGGTCCGGCATATTAACAAATAGAATTCTTTTCAACATGTTCATTAGCTCTAGCTTCAACTTCTTTTCCGATACAATCATTGTTAAAATAAACCTAAGCTGGATCTAGCCTATGTATTAGCTCCGATTAGACTACTTTTCTTGCAATTCAAAAGTTGGCAAACAATGATTTGTAGTCCGTATACTATATACACGCAAGGAAGACGTACTTGCAAAATTCCTAGATCGCAGAAAGCATTGCTTGTTTTCCAATCCGCAAACTTTTCATCCCCCTCTGAGGCATATACGGTTCGTATTTTATAGATATATTCAAGAATGTGTTCGATGTCCGGAAATTAATGCAGGTTTTGGATTTCACCCGCAATAAGTCATACGCTTCTCATTCCTAAATAAGTTGCGAAATACTATTCGATAGAGCAGAGCAAGCTCTACAAGAGGGCTATCTTGTTTTTACAAGTGCTTTCATTCACTTCGAGTTCCAGCCAAAAACTAAAAAGATCCAACTACTTAAAAATCGAGAAAAAAAGTAACTCAATCGAAAAAAATTCCACAAAAATTCTAACTTGTTCATGCAAACACGTTCTACATAAGACATCTATATAGGCCGTTGCCGTATTCCTTTGTGTTAGAAATCAAAAAAAAAAACGAAAAATTTTGCACATTTGCTAAAGTGACGCTGTGCCGTCCCCACATAAGTAGTTGTATTCTACAAACCTGTAGAAGCACAAACATAAACTTTCAGCTCTTTACGAACTTTGGTTCTCAAGAATATCGAATAGAGCTTTTCCTGGTTAGGTGGTCCAAACTAAAATTCAAAATTCTCGAGAGTTAAAGCTTGTGAAGAGCGGAAAATCCATGTTTGTACTTCTACAGGTTTGTAGAATACAACTTCTTATGTGGGGACGGCACAGCACTCACTTTAGCAAATGTACGAAATTTTCAGTTTTCTTGATTTCTAACACAGAAAAAAATACGGCAACGGCATATATAGATGTCTTATGTGGATAGTGTTTGCATGAACAAGTTTGAATTTTTGTGTTTTTTCGATTGAGTTACTTTTTTCTCGATTTTTAAGTAGTTGGATCTTTTTAGTTTTTGACTCGAACTCGAGGTAAATGAAAGCACTTGTAAAAGCAAGATAGCCTTCTTGTAGAGCTTGCTTTGCTCGAACGGTATTTTGCAACCTGTTTAGGAATGAGAAGCGTATGACTTATTGCGGTTGAAATTCAAAACCTTCATTAACTCCCGTTTAACCTAAAACAGCAATAGACAGCTTTGCTGATGGATATTTTTTTTCATAATTACCCCATTTACTCAAGCGCAGCAGCTTCTCAACCTAGCATAGAAAAAAATCAACAAATTGTTTAGTTGTCAAAAAACAACTTAAGACTTCATATTCCCAACCACATTAACTCAAAGTAAGCGTGTAAAGTTGACTTGAATTTTTTCAACGGAGGAATTCTATTCGGAACTTACGTTTAAATACTACTTTACATCAAATATGAACTCAGTTCAATGTTAGGATTTTCCCAACCAAATTGTTTCACCCTTTAAAAACTCTTTTGCAGAACATTGCAGCCGTTGTTGTCAATGGCTATATTCTTCAACTTTATGGTAATCTTGGGTCTTATCTTTTTCGCCATGGCTACTGCTATGAAAGCTCAACGCCATGTTAGTACTATTCATGAAGATGATGTAACTATGAACTACCTTGCAGAAAGCAGATTACAAATTTCATAGAGAGCCCAGTGTGCTAGACTTTGATGAAATTGCTGTGATCTCTAACGCACAAGAGTGTAACGATATGGCCAGGTGACAGCAGAAAGAAAATTAAGTTTTGGAATTATTAACTGAAGTTGCAGAATGCTTGCTGTGGAAAACTACAGCTTAAATGCTATCGCGTTGGGGATGCAAATTTGCATGATGTCGGCAGAGCCAGAAAGAGGAGGATTGGGAGGTTCTTCGACAGTAGTATACGTGGACCTGTACGTTAATTTGTTTCGTAGCACTTGCGCATAACCTAAAATATAGGAAATCTATTAATGGTTGAAATAAAATTGATGACACGGCAAAAAATAAATAGAAATGTTACTAGCTTATCGTAACAAAAACGTTTGAACTACTTCGATTAAAAAGTAAAGACCTTTATGTTTCAACACCAGCGGTGCTATTCGCAGTCATGTCACACACAAAAGATTCCCTAAAAATGGGTGAGGTGTAAAATTTTTGTAGTGATCACAGATCTATCTGGGCACTTTCATTGTTTATTTATTTACTTTTTTTGTTTTCATTGCACAGGAAGTGCGCTTATAACTAGTCAAAAAGTCTAGGACGTAGTCATACGGAAACAAAAACTAGCGTAAGCGGAGACCCGTCTTTTTACTTGTCGTAAAAACGCGCAGAATGATGCAGGACGCAGAATAAGCACATGTTTGATAAGTATTCGTAGTCCTCCTGTACTGATTGCTCTTGCTCTATCATGAAACGACCGCCAAAATTTTAAAGCTATTTTAATTAGAATGCTAACTAATTTTGCAACTTCCTCAGTTTTTCTTTGTGCATGACGCCCTCAAAATTCGCCATTATCTAAGCTTTAAATCAAGCTACCATTGCAACTACCATTTTGTTGAATTCTGACGTCGTAGGTGGGGGTTACGGTAGGTGTATGGTATGAAGGGAAGATACTTGGATCACCGCATATTTGGCTAGAACTTGGCAGGACTTATTCGAAATGCTAATTATTTGAACTAAATTCGCGTGTTTGGAATTATTGCAAGACAACGGTATTACGATAAGGGGATATTGTCGCTAACATGTAAAGAGGGGTTAACTGAACAAACGATTATAATTTTTTGTTGAGCAGGATAAGTAATCCCCTTATGCCAAGAGTTTCAGTGTCTGAGACCCCTGTATTTTAATCCTCGACGGTTGCTCCTCAACAGCCTTACGTATAGCGACTGTTCAATTTCGAGAGGGGCCAGATCTCGACTTATCTTCAATTTTCACTTCTTTTTTGTTGAGTGAAATAAGACAACATCTGGCAACAGTCTGTGCGCAATCGGATCGTTATGCATGATCTAGGCTGCAAACGGCTTTATTTTTGCTTAAAACCCCGTAAAAGCTCTAATTACACTAACTCCTGAAAATGCCTGGACTCAAATTTTGTCATCAAAAAAGGAACAGTGCTTTATTTTGTTGGCCGCGCTCTATGTACATATCAAAGGCGAAAAGGGGTTGTAAACTTAGTTAATAGCCTAGTACCATGTCCAGTCAGGGTCCGGAAGGGAGTCAGGCTGGAAATCGTTCTGAGTGAAAAGAGCAAAGGAAATGTCGTTTCTGCGGGATCCGAGGCGGGGCCTCGAAAAAAACTAACAGTAGAAATGGCAGACAAATCTTACAGGGGAGGTCCGATTAGTCAAAGTGGCCTTTCTAAATATATCTTATACCACTTTGAAGAGCATCAAACGGTGATTCCAAATCTGGTTTCATTTTTCTGCCGAGCGCCTCTGCACGCCGAGTTATGAATATTTTCTTAGTGCGAAAAATGAGCGTATAATCCAGGTAAAATCAAATTTTGCGGTGTTTTCAGCGTTCAAATAGAGCAATGTTGAGTATGAGTGTTTTGGACAGGATATTGTTCAAATGGAGTGTTCTGATAATCAACATTGGATTATTTGAGCAGTTCTGACGAATTTTTTGCTAATTACGTATTAATTTATATTCAAAAAACGCTCATAACTCGACGTCCAGAGGCGCTTGGCAGAAATCGAAGACAGATTTGGAATCAGCGTTCGATGCTCTTCATGGTCGTATCAATTTCATGTGAAAACCCACTTCGACCAAATGGACCTCCTTTGTTAGCTCTTTCCCATACATCGGATTCTGCGCGGGTCAAACCGCGCCGCCGTTGGCTGCCGCACAACGACGCTTAATCAATGCGATTGGAACAGCATACATGAATAGATTTTAAAGGATGCTCAACGAGAACCGAAATAAGCTAATAGGGATGAGGTTTGAAAAATCACGAAAAACTTATGAGAAAGAAATGTGCACTAAGCTATTTTCTCCAAATTTTCTCATGAACGGCGAGTGCGAATGGGAATTAGAATGGTTCGCCTGCAAAGCACAGGTGACTATATGTACAAAACTTGGTATGCACATGGACACCGATTTGGTGAAGTTAACTTAAAAGTTTTATGGAAAAATGTGATTGAGATTGTGGTAATGCCCACCTGAAGTAGGCAAAACTTCCTCACATATGTTTGGCAAAATTTCTACATGAATCTGTTCTACACTTAAAGCTCACTATGTAAAGCCCACTATCTAAAGCAAGAATGTTTACTTACTGTGTAAGTAAACATTTTTGTTTTAAAACTTCTCCTCTCCTTTTTGCTAAAATCTAGATATCGTAAGCAGCACCTTTTCTCAGATAGGAAAGCTCTAGTCGGTATGCGGGAAAACGGCGTCTCTCAGCTCTTAACCGGTGTAGCGGTGCAATTGTATCCGGACCCGTTTTTTCAGAAAGTTTTCATAAAACATTTCTTTAGTCAACAATTTTCTATAGATTCTATGAAGACTGCCTCCTCGCCACGTATTAGGAAAAATTGACATATTTTAGTTCATTTTGACTTGTTTTTTCTAAATCGTTTTCGATGAGGTAAAACAGCATTTGTGACCACCTCAAAGCCTTCCAGTTGTTTTCTGTAAGAGCAAAACTGTCTAGAACGTATCCCAGAACTTTTGATTGCTTTCATCAATAATTCAAGATTGTCTTCCTCTTCAAACCTTTTGCCGAGTTTACCCGGGAGAGACTAGAAATGATGGCTTGCAGTACCTCCCTGCTGCTTGTTTCACCGCTTGGATAGAATCTTAGCGCATTTCTTTATTCTGGGCAGTTCTAATCTCTAAGATGACGTTATTGCCATAACAGTGTCTACTTCAAAAATTGTTTAGTCGAAAATGGAGTCACTATTGATTAAATCACAAATTGAACTTACTCTATTTATTGCAACATATCTTTGGTAAAACCTTTAAACATGTAGATACACGTCAAATTATTTTGACATGTGGCAAAAGGTTGATACTCCTTCCTTTGAATTTGGAACCAAATGTGGTGTAAGGTCAGAAAAAAATATCCTTTTTTGAAAAATATGGGTTTTGATAACGGAAGGGTATTGTAGTTCTTTGACATTTCTCCATTTCTCTTGCTTTTCTTTTTCATGTGCCACTTTTTTTTCGTGCTTTCTAGAGGCTAACAGTTTTGTTTTTGATGCCAACGACCGTATTCATCAACGAACTGTGAGGGTAAACCTTACCCTTGAGAGTAAGTTTTACCCCAAAAAAACATAAAACCCGTATTCGCGAAGCATAGGGTAGGCCTAAACTCAAGAACTAAATCTACCCTTGAAAGTAAAACTTACCCCGAAAAGTAATTTACCCGTATTCATCAACGACTTTGAGGGTAAATCTTACGTTTACCCCAGAAAGCGTTTAACCCGTATCTACCAACATGACCCATTAGAGTAAATTTTATCCTAGCATAGAGCAAGGTTAAATTTTCTCTGGCACTTCGTAAAAACATAAAATAATCTCTCAATGCACAACTCAGCCTTAAAGGCACCGTCCACCCAAAATTTCGACCTCCATGTTTTTGCCGTTCCAGGGCCTTCTCATACCCCCGATTCCGAATATCAAGTTGAAAATCCGCGGGAACCACGAAAAACCCCCGTTTTAGAACCCGCAGAGCGATTTCTTCGGTACGGTGATTGGCTGGGCGCGCACGAATGGGCGGGACGAACGTCACGCCCATTCCGAAAGGGGAGGAGCCAGCGTCGCGAATGCTACCTGGAGCGATTTCCGAAGCAATTTTCTCGGTTCGGAAGCAACTTCAGGCAGCGCGAATTGGGCAATCACACATACGGGGGCCCCGCATCTGCTAGGTATCATAATCTCACCAACCCCAATTTGGGTGGACGGTGCCTTTAAGCATATGTTTTGACAACAAGCGCATAATTCTAATCATTATCAGTTTATTGTCGATTTGTTGAATCTTTCATCGTCGTGCAACTATATTACAAAAACTAGAATAAATTAGTATTTTGTTGGTCATCAGGTATAAGTTGAGCTATGATAGTGCGATCACGTATTGGACCGTTTACTGAAAACCGGATATTGCTGGACTGAAAATATCGATGAAGTCTCATGTTACGAAAACTTCTCGAATTGTTGAGCTTGATGTATCAAAGTATCAAAGCCATATCAAAGTCCTTAGACATGTACACTATAACAACTTCGCCGGATATAATACTGAATGTAAGGATGAAGCGAATTTTAATGAATGAACGGAACCATGAAAAGAGACCATAGGAAGTTGGAGATAGTAGCAACCATGAATACGTGTTCACTGCTAAAACAGTGTCGACTAGGATTGAGTAGTGCTTCGAAAAATTTCCTGATGTTTGTATGATGTGTCAGAAAGAATAATTTTGCTTTTTGCAAAGTTGAACTTACCCTGAGCTATGTAAAATGTAAATACGGGTTAAGCGCTCTCTGAGGTAAGGTTTACCCTTAAGCTTAGGATTTGATTTTTGATCGATACGAGTTCCACAAGGGTTTGTTGATGAATACGGCCAATGAAACCTGAGGGTAAAAAGTTCCCTTGAGGGTAAGGTTTACTTTCAGGGTTGCTGATGAATACGGCCAAAGGTATATATATTAGGTTGATCCAAAAGTTCTTGCGCATCATTTTCAAAAAATCATAACTTTCTTGCCACTAGATGGATTTCCTTATTATACATTTGAGAGGAATCCATGCTCTTTACAGCAGTACCTCCGACTTGATTACTTTGAGAAACTTCGAGAGTTACAAGCAATTGAAGGAAATCAATCAGGATTGGCATTTTTTGAGCTGGATCACGAAAATTCTGGAAGTGTTATTATTTGATGGAGAAAATTATGCTTACTACAGTGGTACCTTTTTCATGAG